ACTATCAAATGATCAGATCGTTCAACTGAAACAACTTTTTTCTCTCTTTGGACGAATAGTAGCGCTCCAATACTATCCTTTCAGTAGAGGGTTTAGCGGCTACTAGGCCGCGTTACTTGTTTTACAGTGTGTGTGGTCTTGCGTTATCATGTTCCTTTGAGTTTCTCTGCAACCCGATTCAGTTGTTGACAGTACAGATCAGCAGTGATGGTGTAACTATTTGATAGAATTTTTCAATGAATAACTTCTTTAATACTCCACCAGACACTCGGCATCAACTTCTTAGGACGCGGATCAGTCTTCGATGTTGCTACGCCTGTTTGACCAGTGCTCAACCACTGACGTCCACGCGTGTAATTAACATATAACACCCACTGCTCATCGCCAGTAATCAGATTGGATGAACATTGATAGTTGCGATAAGATGTGGATGATATTCATAACATAGGTGCTTTTCTATATCCAAACTATAAAGCATTGGGACTTGCAACTCAAGTAGATTATTGTCATCAAAGATGTCGAAATACCACAATACCTGAGGAGACTGATAATGTTTAAGATGAGGAAGCGTCGGTCTGTGGAACCAGGCACATACGAAAAAAGGTATTCATGAAATCTTTGATGATCATAATGTCGAAGCTAACGAGGGAACATATCCAAGTGTGAGTCTTAGTTTTAAATGGGATATATACCAGTTTGTAGAGCTCGACGAGCTGATTCTTGTGGTATGTTACGTTTTTGCCTATAGATCTCAAATGAGAAAATTGATAAGTTTTATTTGCACAGGATAACACTGGAAATCTCGAACTTCTGAGCACAACATTCTTACATAAAGGCAATTTTAAAACTGTTTGTAGTACTTTGAGCTGCTGATTCTCACATATCACACCCAAAACTATTTAAAAAAACGGTGCTCTTTGTATTCTCAAGGGTATCTTTGTGCATGGCAATATTATTTACATGACAGGATTTGTCCAACCGAAGTTATATAAGAGAGCTTTTTTCTACATTCGGAAGTTTAAGCTTCATCATTTTCGTGTTTCGAGTTGCATAGACTATTATTTTATTGTTTCATTCGTATTATTCGGAAAACATAGGAAGAACATAGTCAATGAAAACGATACGCGATGAAAAAATGTTCGAAACACAATATTCGTCTACAATGACTACAACAAATAAATGCACTGTGTTCACAATTATTATTTGAGCAACTGTCTGCATCAAAAGAAAAACAGACTTCTGTAACGCTTGAAAAATTCGAGTATTGTTTAGGGATGTAGCCGCAAGTTGACCATGCGTATGAAATCATTGGTATAAATAGAGAAGAATTCAGTTGATTATGAGCTAAACTTTGTAGTTTGATTATAGCGTCACGACTTCTTAAGTCAACATCTAATTCGTCTAAAGACACATGATGATATATTCTTTTCGTTAACACTTTCCATTGTCGGAAAAAATAAGTATCACACGGTTGTTTAGTTGATGTTGCTTTCCTAGGTATCACTAATAATTTACATGACTGCCCTTTTGTTAGGTTATTTTCATATGCAGTAATGTCAGCCTGCGGTGACCATTCATCGACTATAAGAAGAAATGGATTGCTGACTAATTTATCGAGAACTTCTTTAATCAGTATTCCACTAAGGATTTATTTAACTTTCCAGATGCACTACAACTAGTTACTACATTTGATGCTGAAAAGACCGCTCTTGTAATTGGAAAATGACCCGTAGGTTCCTGAAGACAAATAAAAACAGGACTGAGCAACTGACCAGCGGCACTAATGATCGGCATAACTGTATAGGAATGGCTTATAGCATTCAAAGATTTTACAGATAGATAAGTTGCTTTTTCTCCTTCATAAGACAATGTACGGTTCGAAGGCAGTTCGTAATTAAAACCAGATTGATCGGTATTTAACACAAAATCAAGTTTATATTTTGGTATATGTTTGATTGCCTCAGCGACAAAACCATCAGTAGTCTGTTTAATTATCGATTTATCAACAACTTCTCGATGAGAAACGAATTTTGTCACTTTTCTGGAAGATATACCGTTGCGTTTTTTTAGATTGAGAAGCCAATAGCTATTTGCTTTGAACCCATCTAGATTTTCTGTTTTTGCTTCGGATAGAGCCCATCGCTTCACGTCAAGGTCATGCAGAGGTAAATTGTTATTACGAGCAGAGCGAAATCTATCGAGTAAAAAATGCTCTACATACTCCAATTTTTGCCGACGGTTTCCATTATTTGCAACATATTCTCGAAATTGCTTTAATTGCATGGGATGTGTAACCTGTCGAAAAGCATGCTGTATGGTTGTAAAAGCAATACCTGGACGAGCAAAGTCGACAACCATTTGCATGTATTATAAACTGAACCGAGGATTTTCGACTGCTTATTGCTCTTCATCATCTTCGATTTCAATACAATAGTCCGGATCAAAATGATCGACATTAGAAACTTCGAGAGAGTCTTCTGTATCTATTGTAAAGCTGTCACCCGCTGGAAAGACTCTCCAATAGATCGAGTAGATTGATTGCGATCGATATCTCTTCTTCTGTGATGCTTATTGAATGAACACTTGACCTTTCTAATGTCTTTTCATATAAATATTTACATATGTTAACGACGTTCATCATAGAGATATAAGTTTTGATAAAGTGAAATCTGAGAGAATATTAATCAAAAGATTTATCCTGAACTATTTTCCAAATAACGTGGTGTATATATATATCGATAAGCATAGAACAGAAGGTTAAAGAACAAGTTGGAATATACTAGAAAGAATGAGAAGAATAAGAGGAGATGTCTATCATGAGAGCATAACAATAGAACGAGAAGAACTATCGTTATCTTCTTTGTTTAATATAGCATTACGCTATCACATGCTAACAGTGGTAAGCCGCAAAGTAAATTTGATTGAAGTGCACTCGAATATATTGTACGTGTCGTTGTCTATGTTAATACGACGATTTGAACTTCAAATAACCTCGATTTCTTGATTTTATAACAAATATCTTACAACTTATCTAGACTACAAATTCATTATTAAAATCGATTGGTTTTTCTCATTTGGGGCCTATGGGCAAAAACACAACATACCATATGAATCAGCTCGTCGAGCTCTACAAACTGGTATATATCACATTTAAAACTAAGACTCACACTTGGATATGTTCCCTCGTGAGCAAGATCCAAATACGATTTGGTTTTGCTTTGCCTCATCCACGCCGTCAAAGGATAAACGGATTTAAGTTTTGAACTTGATGTGAGCATCCAGTATTTTTATTCTCTTTTACATATACATCCACATTCTCATCTTCAATGATATACGAATGGTTTTCCTCGAAAAAGTAAAGACAGAGGTAATATACATAGACGTCAACGAAGTTCTTCTATTATTTAAAGTTTATTTTTTACTTCGAGTGAAAACAAATGCATTCATATTTTCTCGTTCTGCTTCTTCCTAATGATTGTTTTGATTTGTCGTTGCTAGTTATTTATATTATTCGGCATCGGAAGTGAATGTCTTTCAAACGCAATTTTTTTAAAAAATCATCGTACTTTTATAAAAATTGTAGTTGCAGATAGAAAAACGTACCTCTATTTACTATTTAAGATAAATATAGAAAATGGCTACGTCGACTGGAAGTTCCACTCAACATCGAAAATTAGCATTGATCATTGCGAATGGTAATTATAATAGAGCTGAAAATCGACTGAATCAATCATGTGAAAATGCCACTGCATTAAGTGATTTGCTTAAAACAATTGGTTTCAATGTTACATTAATATGTGATGTAGAAAAACATGATATGACCATTAGTATCATTGATTTTTCGCAAGAAATTCGAGATGGTGATTTAGTTTTATTTTACTTCTCTGGTCATAGCTCTCAAGTGCATGATAAGAACTATTTGATTCCTATTGGTGACACTTACATCGAAACAGATCAAGACGTTGAAGAATTTTCCAGTGGTTTTGATCGAATACTTGATCGTCTTGTACAAAACAATCCATCTTATCCGACTGTATGTATCTTAGATTGTTGTAAAGTATATTTACTGAAAACTAAGACAGCATCGAATTGTGAGTGTTTTTTAGTCTATCATCAATCATACGAAAAATTGTCTTCATATTTTTTAGCTACATCAGAAACTAAAGGTCTACGAAGGATGCCACTAACTAATGGAGCATTTATTCAGTTTGCTTGTGCTGCAGAGGAAACCAGTCGTAGTAATTTGTTTGCTGAACAGCTGTTGAAAAGTATTGCACAAGAAAATGTCAATATTGTGGAAGTTTTTCGACGTATCTCGGATAATGTATATCAAGAAAGTGGTAAAAAACAACGACCATTCTCCATTAATGGATTGAATCAACTTGGGGAAGTTTGTCTCAATCAAGTATATCGTCCACCTCCTCCGCCACGTGAGTTGAGAGCCGATATAGTAGAGAATAGTTGAAAGTACGGTTTTTTTCTCAAGCATGTGTACATTCTACTTACAAGGGAATCGTCACAAATGTTAGTACATAAAAATGCTCTTTTAAAGAACTGAAACAATGACTTTAATTGATATCGAGCTCTAGCAGAATTTACGTAAAATTGTTATCTTTATTCTATTTCAGCGAAGTCTGTTGAACCCATTCTATCGACAGAGCAGTTCTTTTCGGATGAAGAATTAACAGACGTAGAGAAAAATTACTATGCAGAATGTAAAGAATACTATCGCATGACAAAACAACCTTTAATATCAGTTTACGAGGGAATATTTGATCGTCATTCTGACTTACCATCCGTGTCATTCAAATTTGGGATCGATGAAAACTGTGAAAACTTTGATTTACAAAATTTTATGAATCAAATATGTCATAAATTAAAAGTACCAATGAAATATTTAACGGTCAAACAAGTACAAGAAGGTTCAGCTATATTAGAAGTAGATATCTTTAATAAACTAGAAACTGCTGATAAGAAATTGAAATTGAAAATGGTGTATAACATGGTGGCTGATAAAGAGGATTTTCAAAAGGAACTTGGTAGAATGAAAATATTTTTTATGTACATGGGTCCGATAAAAGAATTATCTAAAAAACAAAAATTTCGAAATGAAATTAAACTCAATCCTGAATTCAACCGTAAGTATGGTCGTGGAGGAAACTTTTGGATAGGAGCAATTAATGATGGGAAAAATCGAGGTGGTCAGCCGTATTATTGCCCAGTAGGATGGCAACGATTTTCATTTTATGTAACTGACAAATTTGATGAAAAGTTTAACGGTTGGTGTATTGGTTATCATGGAACGAAATTTGCATATGGTTTATCTATTTTGTTGAGTGGTTTAAAGCCGGCCGACATAGTTGCACATGGTACAGGAGTATATCTTAGTCCTTCAATTAATTATGCGTCTCATCCAAGATATTCTGAAGTAAAAGTATTGGATTCATCGCATCAAAACAAGTTTTCAAAACGTGGTAAATACGTTCAATATGTATTAGAATGTCGTGTTCATCCAAGTAAGATAAAAGTAATAGCTGAACAAACGTTAAAAGCCGATAATACAGCTATTGATCCTAATGTTAACAATCGCATCATTGAATGGTTGATTGATGATCAAAATAAAAGTGTCGTAGATTTCAATGATTCCGATTCCTCAATTGTTTGTACAGGAATATTGTTGCGTGTAACCGACAATCATCCTGGTCTTCTGCCTGAATCACATTGGTGGTATAATGCACATTTGTGTAATGATCCAAGGTGCTGTTTATTAGGTATCGACTTAAAATCTTTGTATCAACTACGTAGCAATGGTAATACTTGTAACATTGTCTTTGACTAAGTATACAGTACTACATATTGTTTAATATGCGCGTAAACGTTTATAATAAAAAATAACATTAATGATTACATATTAGTACTATACCTCACCGAAGGACTCGCACAGTTATTTCTAGTAGAAATATCGTTTCTATATAATAATTAATTTAACGTAGGATACCTTCGGGCAGGATTCGACTTTTTCCTCGATCGATTCGTTTCAACATAAGTTCCGATCGAACTTGATACAGTTTAACAAATGAGCAACAATATTTTGTCTTAATCATGCGTGAGAAATAAATTTCTATCTTGAATGAATCTATGCTCACGTTGTACCAGTTCGTAGAGGAAACTTGCCTTCAGAATTTTCTTAAACTCTACTTCGACGTACGTATTTGTCGCGATGATCATCACTACACTTGCACCTATTCCTGCGATACCGCTGATTGAACACTATGCTCGATAATTAATTTTGTTATGCTACCAAACGACATATTCTCCATGTCATGGCAAATGCCATTAATAGAAACTTTCAGCTGTTCACCTTTGCTTTTCATCCTTGTTGCTTTTTATCTTTAGCTTTTCGCCAACAGTCAAATTTGCAGCGTCTCAAATATGTTCATATAAGTAACAAACTCTTATCACTGATTCTTTGAATAAGTTGTACTTGTGTATAATTATTTTCAGTAGCCACCTTGATTTCTCTTAATTGTGTTACCATAGTGAAGTTAGCGATTTCTGTTTTACTCAAACGATTTCTTATTGATGGCATAAACATTTATAAATACTGTCATATTTACAGGTAAAAGTGAATCAATTGTAAAACTCTATTTCCAATTCGCTTTATCCGTTATATATCATTTCGATTGGAAATTACCAACTTCCTAAGCCGGTTCCTGAGCAACTATAAATCTAAAGTCATATGAAAACTGCTTTCACGATATAACAAATCATCAACATTCTTATTCAAAGAAGAAATATATTTGGTTCGTTCTTGCTCTTGGGTTATATTATTTGAACAAGAGGTATATATATAATACAATTTTGAAGCTCAAAGAATTTTACAAAAGCATAGAGAAACTAAGCAGAAAATACTAGAGAGAATAGTACAAGATCGATATCAACAAAAAAGAGTGACTATATCGGAATGTATTAGAATGAAAAGAAAGCGGTGTGAATAATAGACGATTTGATTTGTAATAATGGATATAACAGTTAGGACAACGGCTACAAATATACTAGTCTTAGTTTGGTATTGTATTGTGCTGTTTATTGTTTATTCAATGAAGGTGCCGTGCGAATAGTATTTGATCCTCTATGGAAAAGAAAAGTAGGTGCAACAGCACGATTGCGACGATGAATACGGCATATGCGTAATTTTTTTCGGAGTTCTGGTAAAGTGGTGAGACAAACAAATGGTAGCACACAATAGAGTAAATACATCATATTGGAGAGATAGGAGTAAGCGATACTATCCTCCGATACAAAACCAGTTAAATATTCTGTATTAACAGGAATCGTGGTAATCATATAGAGAGAAGATATAGACAAAAGTTGTATAGTCATTTTTCGAATTTTAGTCCATTGTAATCCTCGACGATAGTGACGCCTTTTCCATAGAACGCGAAATAACAGAGAAATACTACATAAAACAATAAGAATAGTTGTGACTATCGAATTGGCAATTGTATCGTACTGTGCGAGATAAAAATCACCGTATGCACATGTAGAACCACAGAGAACTGATGTATAGTCGAATACATTTTCACACGGATACCCAAAGACCAAGTATGATGAATACACGCAACAGTAGGCAATACAAAATGTTAGAGGAATGTAATGCACTATTAGACGTTGTTTGAGAGTGTTTAATAAATTTCTGTGAAATATCAAAATATGACGTTCAATCGATGCCCAAGTTGTTAACCACATGCCCAAAGTATAGCAGATATTATCTATCCACATCCAATATAAACAGAACGAATGAGTGTGCAACCAGACTGAGTTCGTGCGTATATAATTAAGAAAAACGGAAAGATCGCCAATTAGTGTAATAAAATTTAATATAACAATCAGTATAAATACATGCATATCGATACCTTTTCGAATTGTTGGTGTTTTCCAGAAATGGTAAAACAGAAATAAATAGCAGGGAATGGCAAGAAGTTGACATGATTGAAGAATGACATATTGAATATTATTTGCAACTAATATATTTGTTATTGAATCAACGTCACTTTCGTCAGTTAATGTTGGCGCTCCTGTCGTATTTTTTTCGTAAGACAAATTCATTCTGCTCTTGTAGGTTTTACAATGAAATAGAAAGCTGAATAAAGAGATGATTGTCTACTTCCTCATTAGTCAGACGACACAGATTAAAGTATTTTTAATCTAAATAACTGATGTACTTTAGTTTTCATGTCACTTTGCGTATCTATAATGAACTTCGCAAAGAACTCAAGATTTTTATCAAAGTTATTCGTATGTTTATAGAAGTGTTAACGAAGCAATTGAGGAAACGGAACAAATAATGATTAAATGTGAAAATTAAAACATAATTTAAGAGATACTAAATATTAGACAAATTTTTTATGCAAAACAAAGAAAGATAGAGAATGGCATCTTCTTATTAACGCAAAATAAATGGCAATTCGAACATTCGCAAGGAAAACGTCTTTTTGGTGTATTCAAACAGTGATTGCACTCTTAGAATCGGTCAGTATGTCTGTCCATCCGCTAATTCGATAATTTTTTATATAAGAATCAGATTAGGCTGAAATCTTCACAGATCCTAGTATACAAAGTAGTATGGTTGTGCGCTTGTTCACTTCTTGTACTACTTATGGTTGCTAAACTCTCCATGCAGGTTCATTAAGACGAAAAACCTGCAAAGACTAGACACGAATGACTTCAGTATGGTTCGGGTGAAATTTCATCCAAATCATCGTTGTATTCATTAGCGCTAAGGAAACCATACTAGATGTGCTGGATCGTGTGAAGTGAGAAAATCTATTCAAAAATAACTCCTGTTTCAATTAAACTCAAGGAGGAAACAGCGATACTCCGGAGTTTTTGAAGTATTCCTGTTTGCCTCTTGTGGGTTAAAATACCAACAAGACATTACAGAGAACACATTTGAAAGCATCTTACCGCTATAGCAGACTGAAAATATGATGGTATTACTAGAGTTGGTCACTTTCCTCTATCTATTAATATAATAACTCTAGAAAGATTAATGGGATTAAGCTGAAATTTTTGTTGATAAACTGTTGCATCAAAATCTCGCTAGAGTTCGAAGATGAAACTGATTGAACGATTGACACATGGATTATTAAAGAATGAATTGGTATTTCTCTCTGACCTGTTGTGTCATTTATTTGATGCAGTTTTTTGGCAGTACACTTAACTCTTGGATAAGATCCGACATTTCAGTGTTTATATTCTCATAAGTCATGAATTCTACAAAAAACAGCGACAGAAATGAGTTTGATAATCTGACAAATTCTTTATGGCTTTTCTGTTTACATATTCTACTAGCAGAATGATAAGAAACTATAGGACTAAGCCGATATGTCAGCAGGAAAAAAATGCGTAGATTAATATAGTTTGAAGAAATATTTTCTTCTTCTATTTCTTGGAAGTAGAATATATGCAAACAAATTGGTCATATGAAATGAAGTTCATTATTGTGTATCGTTTCTTATTCGAAATAAATTATGTCAGAGAATTAAGATAAGAGATTATGGAACCTATTTATTTGGCATAATGTGCAAAATTTTCGAACGAAAAGATCAACTAACTACATGAACAATTCTATTTTAGCATTTGATTTCACCAGAAAGATGTTAGATCTCCAATCCAAGATGAAATGTATTTTCTCATCTTTTGTACTATTTCGATATTGAAGTATCCATATAGCTATTTTAATGAATGACCTATTACATGGAAAAATAATACACATTTATCTACTTAAGAGAAACGACTGCATTAAGAATCGTATGACTGTTCATAAGTTACACTAACAATTCGCTGCATACGTGTAAGTGTTATATGAATGTAAAACTTATATATTCGATTCTCTAGATAATCGAATCGTAGAAGACAAAGAAAATAGCTTTTCAAACAATCTATTATATACAATTCCAGATAAACGTTATCCCGTATGGCAAACAATCCATCATTATGATGAATATGCAATTTGTATTCAATAAGACATTCATAAGTGTTTCATTTGAAATGTTAATTTTTTCTCCGTCATCTTTTATACATCTTCAGCCATACTTTTCTTACTTTATTTCAACTTTTGTCGTAGAATAAGAATATAAATATTTATCTCATGTAGCTATCGTTCATCAATGTCTTTGTCTTTTCAAGATATGAATATCTTTCATTTTTACAAACTTGATTTGATCATAATGATATTTGCTTTTGTGTCTGCTATAATCGTTTAAAATGTAACGACATCTTGAATAAGAATCTTTTTTGATTTTTTCTCAATTGATATTCTTTATTGGGAATAAATGGGACTATGAAACCACTATTGTTTTAAATATAATCTTTGTGGTACTATCATTCTCTAAATTCTAGTTATGCCTATCTGTATTAAATAAAACATGTGGATAACTGTCTCTCATTTAAATACTTTTATGTGGATTCGTCGAAAGAGTTTTCTGCATCTGATTCATACAAAGAACTTTTTTTAGTGATCGTCTTTACACAAAATATCGTAATTGAATTTGTAATTGGAAAAACTGGAATGAAGCCGATAATGATCGTTGGTGTGCAGAAGATACAACTTGCATATTGAAGATTTTAGGAATAGGCTGATCAGAAGCATTACTAACATATAGATTCGATTGTTTTTTATTTGAACGAATAAATCCAACATAAGGTCCAATGAACATATTTGTTCTATCGTTCCAATTTTTGACAATCAATGTAACATTATCAATACTTGATATCCTGTCATAAAATCTTATTATCTATTTACTACATACATCAATTATAATAATAAAATTATCTATTATTTTATTGATAAGAATACTTGATGAACTAAATAAAACAACAGTAGCACTATGTGGAATAATTGTTTTATTATTAAGAATCGTTGTACCATCTAATAAAGATTTTCAATTGCATTTCAAGAATATGATTTTTCATTATTTAAATAAAGATCATTTGAATACTGTACAAAGTCAATTCTTTAATAAATCATTGATGATGAAATGAAATTTCCATGAAGATTTGTATCTTTCTGAAATAATCAATATTGATTTGATAGAACATCATTATGATAACATTTATCTTATATTTATTAATATTTGTATTCCATATCTGGATGGTTAAATAACTGAAAATATTTGTCAAACACAAATTCTTGTTAAACGAGAAATGAATCATCAATTGACAAAAAAGATTTTACTGCAATCAATTGTTGTTGAAGTTAGTAATATGATAGATAGAATTAATAATATTTATCGTTTTATTACAACTGGAATTATCAAAGATATAAATACACAAATTACAGAGAATTTTTTTGCTACAGCAATTATGACGATCATTTCTTACTTTTATCCGACTGTATGTATACAAATATTGGCTTAAAAACATACTTTTAGAATATTTTTTCTTTCTTAGGGAATCTTTTGCATATTTTTGATTCCATTAAATCAATTTCCAGACTTTGATGCGTGTTAGTGTTTTCCGGCAAATTCAGTTTAACCGTAATTAATGTTGACATATAAATCACTTTATAACCATAAGTGTTCGTGATCATTGTAATGAAGAATTTCGCAATTTTCAGCTTGGAAATTGATTCCTTTGGTTCTTTTTTTTTTCTTTCAAAAATCAAATCATAAAACATGTTGAAGTAAAATTTATTGTGTATAGGAAAGAAAAATCATTGAATATTCGAGATATTATTGTAATAACTCTAACTCTCAATGATGTTCTCTTCATGAATTAAAATTAAACAATTAAAAGACAAGTTAGAGTATAACAACACCAACAAATACAGTTCCCACATTTGTATGATTCGATGCTTTGAGCCAAAAAGAAANACAATATATTAGTCCATAAATGATCGACTAGAAGAATAAAAAGGACGAAAAGTAAAAGACGATTTTCTTAAAGTGTTCTTTTCAGATATTAGTTCTTTGTTTTTATCGATTTATTCATAGAAATCAAAAATATATTTATAACGAGGAAACATCTTTTTGCTATTGCGTTCATCGTAATTGATGTGTCTAATTTGGAAGAACGAATTGACCATTTATTTTCTACAAAATTCTCAACAATTAGATGAAACGGAATAAAGAAAGTTTTTCTTTATTTTACTTGGTATTGGCGCGGCAACTTTATTTAAATCAACGTTTAATAATGAATACTACCGAATATTCATTTCATTTCTTATCGAAATCGGTAAATTATTATGTTCTTCATTCATTCTTCAACGAACAATTACATTGATTGTTACATCAGTTTTCTTTTTCTCTCGTCGAATTCTTTTCTCATATAATTATCTTCGATTTAGATTTTTATCTCTGTAAATTTTATTCCTTTATTGATTTTATTTTTCTGTTCAGAATCTCATTTTCGTCAAACACTTTATGAAACTTATTTCTTTATTATTTTTTTGTTTTTGTAATAGAGTCCGTTTGTCTTTTTTGTATTTCATGTTTTTATATGGATTATTCAAATGTTTGAGACGATTGAAGAATCGTTGAAATTGTTTCAATCTAATTTAATATTATCAATATGAAACGAATACGAAATAACACAAATGAATTTGACGATGAAGCTGTTATGATAATTAATGATCTATAGGTAAAGATACTTTGCAAGATGTTACACATTTCATTGTGAAGAAGAAAAAAAAAATGAAAATGCAATATCCATTTTAACTTCTAAGAAATTCGTATAAGATTTAAATATTAAAAGAACCTTGAAGTTTAATATCAGCATTATTAGCAGAAGTTGATATCCAAACTGTATATTTACCGTGAGCTATTATCCATTGTTGATTAATAACATTCCAATAAGAAATATCTTTTCGTGTTAATACTAATGCAACTTGTTTTGATTGATTCACTTCTAAATAAACTCGTTGAAATCCTCGTAAGATTTTCAATGGTTCTTGAGCTTCAATAGGAAAATTCAGATATAATTGAACAACTTCGGATCCATAAAATTTACCAATATTTTTAATTATACATGTAATTGTATAAATAGGATCATATAATCCTGAATAACCAAAATTATTATAAAGTCTTATTCGACGTTGTTTATAAATTGATGAAGGAGAGTTTTGATTATCATCATTATTTACTTGTGAAATATTGAGTTGATTAAATGAGAAATTTGTATATGAAAGACCATATCCAAAATAATATCTTGGTGTTATATTATATTTATCAAAATGACGATAATCTAAGAAAACACCTTCTGTATAATTTGAATCTCCAATAAAACTAATATCAGTTCCAAAATCAGAATCATTTTTAGCCAATGAAAAAACAAGTTTTCCACCTGGATTATAATCACCAAAGAGAATATCAACAAGAGCATATCCATATTCTGAACCAGGCATACCCGTCCAAATAGTTCCAACAACATTTGGATGATCAATCCATCGTTCAAGATTCAATTGTGAAACACTATTAACAAGAACAATAGTTTGATAACAATTCTCAGCAACAGTTAAAACAAGTTGTTCACCATTATCAAATGTATATAAATCAGTTCGATCAATTCCTTCTTCTGACCAAGCACTAATAAATACAAGACATATGACATTTTCAAAAGCACGATCATGAAATGTTCGATTAATTGAAACAAAATCATTTTGATTAGTAATATATCGAATTTGAAAATGATTTTCTCGACCTTTTTGCATCAATGCAGTGAGAGGATCTATTGCATAAGATGGACGAACAAAACCTGAACCACCACCTTGATATAAAGCACCTCCACAATTTGTATTCCATGCTGTTTGTTCAAGACCACAGTTGGTTTGACCAGCTGCTTGTCCATATATATAAATATTTGTATTCATAGAAGAATTCAATGGTAAAATATTATTGATATTCTTTAATAAAATCATACCAGCACGACTTATTTCTCGATTAATTAGATAATTGTTTCCCATAACATTACGATCAAGATCAATTGTTGGATAATTTTGATCTTGTCCAACAAGATAATAAGGTGCAATAATTCGTATAACCATATCATCAATTCTTGATTGAGGAATACTTCCATTTTGAACAAATTTGACTAAAACATCACCCATATATCCATCAGTTCCTGGCATATCGATATCTAATCCAGATAAAATTGGATCGATTGTTGATTTTGCTCCCATCCAATCAGTTAATATATTTCCTAGATATCCTAATTCTCCTTTCAACAAATCATTTTGTGTTTTATTATTTTGACAAGCTCGTGTTTCATTAATTTCATTAGCTGAACACATAATTGAACCTACTCCTGCAGCAACACTCGATGCAAATGGCCAAAGATAAATTTCATGCATAGTTTTATCATCAAGATTAGCTGAATAAACAATGGGATCATTATCACCTTTCATCACACCACTCCGATGTGTATCTTGTTCATTACAAATATAATGTTTAGCTGTTGCAATAACACCTTGATCTTGAATACCTTGAGTATAAAAGTATGCATTTTCACCTGAAAGATAAGGATCCGAACCAAATCCTTCCCAATTGCGACCATGTCGAGCATTTCGATCAATATTTATCATCGGACCAAATGCATAATGAACACCTTTACCTCGAAATTCTTTACCAATTGCCACGGCACGTCGATAAAACAAATCTCGATCCCATGTCGCTGCAATATGAATACCACTAGCAAAAGTAGTTGAATATAAAACACCATCACCCACACCTGATGGTGTATCTTGAAGACAGAAACCACTAAAGTTAACGCGTACTAATGATGCAATATTACCAGCACATGTTCCACCAACACCTGCTGTCAAATGACATTTTTCTTCTAATGTTAATTGATTAATAAAGGATTTAGCCATTGCAATAGATTGTTCCCACGTTCGAAATGTTATTCGAAGTTGATTGAAATCATCAATGATCGATATTGTTGGTGACCAACAAAGAAAAACACAAAGTAACAACAAACGAATTCTTAACATTTTAGTAATAAGAATTCAAATGTTGTCTTTTTTAGGTAAAGATCTCAGTTCTTATCATCTGTTTCGTGCGAATATCTTTTTCTTCAAATGAAAATTTCATCATAAGTTATATCTTATAACACAATGTGGAATGTTTCGTAGCCAAATTTTTTTTTTATAAAAAAAATGATAATAGAGGT